TGGCCGACGAACTGAGAGAACGGTTTTACCTTACTATGTTTTTATCATGGTCTTTACAATATATTTTGACATAAATAATAATAAATAATTTGTCTACAGATTTACTAAAAACTTCCGACTGTCTAAAGAGGCGTTTGTGAGCCAAATCTATTTAAAATATTTTAAAACTATCCGCAGCTCTATGATTTGTTCTCAGAGATCGTGCCAGCCGAGTATTGGGATTTTCCTTCACAAGTAAAAGCAGCCTTTCGAGCTTGTGTTTTGTATTCACGACGTTAAAACTGCATGAAATTGATAAAAAATTGTTTAAAATTAGTGTCTTCCCGCCAAAAAGTAAGAGAACAAATGCAAAATCAAAAATGCGGATGTACTATCAAGAATCACAATTGACGAACTTAAAGACACGACAAAACATATATTAGCAGTAAAAACTCGATCGATGACAAAATAAAACGTAGAAATGCAACCCACAGTACGAAGAAAATCACACAAAAAACTCCACAGTACAAGTTTACGACAAATTTTCTTACAATTTTTCAAAAAACATTCCACGGATAAAAACCAAAATTACTTACGATAAAAATGATGAAATTTCAAGTATTAAAATATATGTGCATTTAAAACATAGAAAACTCGAGTTAATTAATTTTGAGGTTGTTAACAATATGCGCTACTTTTGAGGCTTCAACACCAAGCCGGCAATCAGAACATTAAAGAAATTTAAAGGCAAAAAGATTCATTATTTGAACAATTCTCGATTACAGACTTACTTTAAAAATTAGCGGAAACAAAGTTTTAAAATCTTTACAAATTGTACTAACAGACCCTGTGGAAACAATCACTGAAGACGACAAGAAATTTAAACTCATTATGGCGCATTTACATGGTATGAATCTGTTCATAAGCCGTATGAATTTTCCTATAAAAGAAGCACCAACTCTATGAATAAATGAATGAAAGCGATATATATTTATTTCACAATTTTGACTTTTATAGTTGGCAAGCATGGTGAAATAATAATAAGGTGGTTGTTGTAATTTTGGCAATTTCGGCATACCAGCGTTACAGTAATGCCTACTCTATTCATTCCAATTTCATTTCTGGGCAAAATGGAACAAAAAATGGAGCAGACAATTTTGTGAGAAAAGTATGCGCAGGTACCACTGTTTCTTTGTTTCGCTTTTGCTTTGACTTTTCCTTTCAAATTCATTGGAAAATTTGAGCGATAATTTCCAACAATTGTGATTGTGTAAGTAAATTTTTGGTAATATACATATATATATATATATATATATATATATAATATATATCCAACTGATTGTTGGAGCAGTGCCTCGGATGGCTACGATAATGAACTTTGGTCTAACAATTTAAACGCATAACTATTTTATAATATAACTGGATTCAGAAATGTAATTTTAAAATGTTAACGAAAATAAAGGTCGTAATAAAATTCCCTTTAAAGTTTAGATATTTATTTTTCATATGTGTGTGGTACGACCGTGTGACCTTTAAGTTTTACAATTAATAATTTTAAGGTAGAAAAATATAAGTGAATAATAATTATTAAAATCAATATACATATTTGATCGAAAAAATAAAAATTAAGTAATAATAATTTCTTTTGAGCGAAAAAATTAAACTGTAATTTCACTGGTTTACAGAAAAAATATTTCATTGATGCAAGCTTTATTTAACTGGTGTGGGGTCAACTGATATACATATGTATGTATTGGAAATAGTACCCAAAAAGTAGTAAAAATAATCCTAATCTTTTCCCCCTTTTTCTACTACCGCAAAATGCATGGCCGCAATTGGCATGCAGAAAAAGTGAGGTTATGTAAGTGACATCACCTTATATTTATTTCACCATGGTTGGCAAGCATTTTTTTGTTAAATGTGCTTTAAAAAGGACCATATTTGTAATGCTTCTATTTAAACATCTTTGTGGAAAAAACAGTTTTTTGTTCAGAATTGCTTGTTTACGAAACGTTTGGCTTAAGTTGAAATCATAGGGATGACGTTTTCTTTCGTTTCTCAATGGATTTTATACTTGAAAAGGCACCAAAATATGTATGCAATATTTCTACACATCGTCGTTTAAAGTACAAAACCGCGCACCAAGAAAATGTAAAACCTCGTGTGAGGTTGCCTACATTTTATAGGAGAGAGTAAAACTTGTCCTAATTAAAAACGGTTCTCTCTTTTAAACTTAATTATCTCTTCTCCTAATGTCTAAGTATCGATATTTTATTATAAATGGCTAAGGGCTTGATGTCAGGAGCTTCCGTTGACCAAATATCTTTTTTGGCACAAATTTCAGTTTCGAGGTTTTGCAGAACCATGATACGCGCTTTTGTATTTTAAACGATGATATACATATTGGGGCGTACACGATATGTTAGTGTTTGGCCTAGCTTCTCCTCCGATATGTGACGTGCGTGATTTTGTCACACAAAGTAAAGGACAGTTTTACGCCGACTCCGAACGGCAATTGTATTTTTATGAGAAGCTGTCTCCATGACAGAATACACCCGGAGATTTACTATTACCAAAAGAGGTGCAACCGCTATTATAAAATAACATTTTTGTTTTTTATATTTTGATGTTCGTGGGAAGCTGGGATTGAACTCAGGCGTTACGTAATGCTCCACAGCAAGCGCCACTACTTTTACATATATTGCTGGTATATTCAAATTACTATCCCGAACATCGGAATGTATATATGTAATATAAAAAAGAATGAGAGGTACTATAAGAAAATGTACCCAAAATTCAGGAGCAAATGAAAAAATGCTCATTGAACATAGTTCACATGTATAAATTAAAAGAAGTAACTTAAGCGGTTACAGCGCTAAACGAAAGGAAGTTAGAAAAAAAAGCAATGCGGTTTGAAGGAAACACGAGACCATAAAATATTTGTTTGTTTCTTTAATTCTCGGAACCTTTTAAGTTATGACACTCCATTCTTTGCAGTAGTTTGCAAATATACACTTATTCTTCTACAATCGCAAAAACTTTCGTGGGTGGTTTTTCTTTGATTTCGAATTGAAAATACATTTCGATCATATATGTATATAATCCAAAATAAGTGCGGTATCCCTGCATTTTGTAAAAGCCATAAAAAAGCATCATCTGTATGAAAAAAATGAAAGGAAGAAATATACATGCCTTCAATAATAGAAAGGTTTTGTAATAAAACAGTCTTCTCGCTCCCACACATAAAAATCGGCTCCTTTACTTGTGCAGAATGTTGCTTACTCTATAGTTTCTAGTGATATTAGTAGTAAAACCAAAAATTCTTCATTGGCGTTTCGTTGGCGTTACCTTCGTTTGCGTAATTTTCTAGAACAAGTGTAGAATAGCGACCGTTTAGCTATAAAATAACCAAAAATGCCGATTTATTTGGCGCAGGTAAAAAAAAAGAAGATATAAGAGGTTTATTTGTATTTTTTAGTATCACTAAATTGTTGAAACCCAAAAGTAGATAATGATAAAATATGTAATATCGAATTAAAGATAATAACTTGTACTTTCTAAATAATATAAAATTCTTTACCATTAATTATGGAGTTTTTTTCAAAAAGGTTATTTCATGAAAAAATAATATTTGTTCGTTTTCCAGTGGTTTTGGTTTCAAAATACAAAAGGCTATAAATTATGTACATCAGCTGAAGAACAAATTAATTACCTTTATGGTGGCGTCATTAGCTTTTTAATCGGTTATAAAGTTCATAAGATAATATTTAAAATATCTAAAAACTGCACTCTAACCTTCTACAACCTCTTCATTTTTTACTTGCGCCAAATCATTTTGGCATGGTTGAAATGAGCATAAAATGTTCTATTGATCTGCATTTTTCGTTTTTGCATAGCTGAACGGTCGGTATTCTAGATCTGTTCCCGGAATTGACGAATAACTTAAATCAAAAATGCATATTTTTATCTATTGTTTAGTATTTCCATTAAAACACCAAATATATTGCAAATTCACATAGAATTAATTATACACATTTTACTTCTAATTGTATACTTTGCGCACTTTTTTAGTACCTTTCTACTACCGTTTTCGCAAAATGCGATCACATTCTTCCCCTATCTCTTACTTCCAAAATACAAATCTAGATAAAGGAGTGTCAAATTTTAGCTGTCACAAATTACACAACCTTGTATTATTGAATCATGCATGCCTTCTATAATTTTGACTTATATGTATATTTGGTAAGTCTTTGTGTAAACAACAAAAAATACACATTTTCATTCCTTTACCAGCTTGGAAAATATAGGCTTAATTTTACTTAAATGTGATATAAAGCTCATTAAAATGTTCTGTAATGTCTTGTTTTTAAGTTTGTTATCACAGTGCTTTGTATTTTAATTGTCCACTATACGTGAGTGGCTTCTATTTAAAAAGTTCTAGTACAAAGAATGTCTTTGTTTTGAATTCGTTTGTTTATTGTTTTTAATTTTTAAAATTCATACTTTTGACATGTATGTGGCGGAGTTGCCGCTTTCCTTCTTTTCGGAGGGTTTTTATATTGAAAAGACATTAAAATGCGAAAAAACCATCTTGGTATCTCTGCATCTGTTAAACTTTTTATGAGAAGATGTATGAAAATCGAACTTGCTATAATTTCATATGCCTAACAGTATCACAACAGTATGTTTACAGTATCTCCCCATAATTTTCGATATGAAAAAATGTATTATATGCATCCCACTCATTGTCATTGAATTCCTCATTGGAACATGTAGTCCCTCTATGTTAGCGTATCAACAGTTCATATTACTTCATACCATGTAAATGCACCATGACAATTTACCATAACGACCCGATATCAGACGGACATTGCGGAAACAAAAAAAAAACTCCATGCAAAATTACGTACAAAATACTATTGGAAAAATATGACACGCGATATTGCTAAATTCGTAAAAAGCGGTGAGAAATGTTTATTAAATAAAGTAAAACCTAAAACTAAAGAAAATTTAGTACTAACCCTAACGCCTTGCAAACCCTTTGATGTTGTAGTTATGGACACAGTAGGACCCTTGTCTGAGTCCATTAATGGCAATAGGTTCGCAGTAACCATTATATGCGACCTAAGAAAATATTTAGTAACAATAGCCACACCGGATAAAAGCGCAAAAACAATAGCTCCTGCAATTTTTGAAAGCTTTGTTTTAACATACAACATTATAACCACCGAATTTAAAAATTACTTTTTTCCGAATTAACCAAACTTTTAAAAATCCAGCACAATTTCTCGACAGCACATCCCCATGAAACCGTTTGGTGAACATCTACGCGCGTATTTAAATGAAACTTTGTCCGATTGGGACGTTTATTTGAAATATTTCACATGTTTGCACAATACAACAAGTTCTGTATTTGATAACAAATTTTCACCAATTGAATTAGTATTCGGTAGAGAAGCAATTTTACCAACCGAATTACAAAATGTAAAAGTGATCCGATATATAACATTGATAATTATTCGAAAGAAATGAAATACAGAATGCAAAAATCACACGCGCTTGCAAAAACTTATTAACAAACATAAAATTCGAAATCAAACGGTCTATAACAAGACCGCGCGTCCGTTAATAGTTAATTTGAATGATCCGGTTTTAGTTAAAATGAACCGCGCGACAAACATACAAACATATATGAACACAGCTGGGTCGTAATGATTCCTTTAGGAATTAAAGTACTCCTAATTACAGATTACAAGGAATTGTAATTAGGAATCAATTCCTTCAGTCCACAGCAAAGGAATCGATTACTTTCTCACTTCCTTGAAGTAATTTCAAATGTAATTGTTTTTTTTTTAATTCCATTACAAGGAATTTCATATTGTAATTGGAATAAATTACGTGCTAGTAATGTATTTTTTTTTTCCAAATTGAAAATGTAATTGATTTTTTTTTTTAATTCCATTACCTGGCATTGCAAGAGTACTTTAGTCTTTTCAGTTACTCAAATGAATTGTAAAAGTAATCGAGAATCTGAAAGTTCATTCACGAATGTACAATGTTGAGTTTTTTTTTGTGGTCAAAGATTAAAGTCGAAAGCACACATTGGACATCTTCTATATATATAAAAATGTTGTGTTCGTATGTCACGGTCAGCAAAACCCGAGAAAGGCTGAACCGATTTGAATAATTTTTTTTTTATTATTCGGTATAATACCAGGACCAAGGATATCGCAAAAATTTGGAGGGTTGCCACCTATTTTAAAATTTTTAAACCCAATTGTATTGATAAAATTAATGAATTATTACAATATGGGTATCAAGTTAAAGAGGTTTAAGAAAGATAACTGTTGGAAGTATTTTTGACGAGGGTTGCCACCTATTTGAAAATTTTAACTCAGTCAAATTGATAAAATAAATGAAATATTGCCATTTGGGTGTCAAACTAAAGAGTGTTAAGAAGGCTTACTGCCGAAAATAAGTTTTAGGACGGTTGCCATCTGTTTGAAAATTTAACTAAATTACATTGATAAAATATTAGGGTACGGTTTAGTACGTTGCCGAATTATTTCGAGGTATTGCGTCCAAAGTGGTGACCCGATCACAAAAAAATTTCCACACACTTGTAGCCAAGGGTCTAAACATTATTTTAATACAAACTTTTGTAATTTTTGGTCACTAATTTATTTACAAATTGGGTTAGAAATATGCCCTTTTTTGTAAAATTCAGAAATCAGCGTACATTTATCACTCCTATTCTCCTTAAAGCAGCCACTTCACCAATATATTTTTATATTCTCCTTCACTTTACACTTTACTCGATGAGTTATAACTTTCTTTATGACTTTAATATTAACCAATGAACAGAGCTGGGTAAATTCAATTACATTCCTCAGTAATTGTAATTAGGATTCAATTCCTTTAGTTCACAGCAAAGGAATCGATTACTTTTTCAATTCCTTGAAGTAATTTCAAATGGAATAGTTTTTTTTCTTGAATTCCATTACAAGGAATTTCATATTGTAATTGGAATAAATTACGTGCTAGTAATGTAATTTCTTTTATTTCAATTCCTTTGAAAGGAATTGAAAATGTAATTGATTTTTTTTTTCCAATTCCATTCCTCAAAGTAATTTAAAAAGTAATCGAAAAATGTATAAAAAAAAATGTTTACTGTTGAATTGCAATAGCTTTGTTAAATTTCTTGGTTGCTAACTGCCTTGAATAAACAACTTATATCTAAGTAGTATTACTAATTGGACTTAAAGAAAACTGAATAGCTTAAACTGTAGCTGTTCAGTTTATAGGGTAACGGTTAAATTTTCCAGACCCATAAATGTTGCTGCCTTGAGCACTGCTGTTCTCTTGGACTAATCCCTGCGTATCTATAAAAATGCACTGAGTTAATTGTCTATATTATGGTACCCTTAATTCTACCCAAAATGGCGTGCCTTCTGGGGCCTTTGAAGTACTCTTACTGGTATCCTGCGTTACAAATGAAGATAGAGTCCGCTTGAATTACGAGCCCTGTGGGACTGGAGATCCTACCTCCTAAGAATTTTATAAACAAATTTCATTGCTATGGCTAAATTTTGATGATAATACTGTAACGACGCTAAAATTATACAAAAAACGCCGAGACTAAAATTAATTTTAAGTAGTATGTTACGGATCTGTATACCGCTTTTTTAGATAAGGTCATTTAGTCAAGTTATTTTATTTTAAGTTTTCATTGCGAATGAAAAAAATTCATGTACGATATGGCGTATGGGTAACATTATTTCCTGCTAGTATTTCATACAAAAAATTATTGCACTTTCACTTAAACCTTGCAAATCACAATGGGCCCTGATCGGGCCTAAGTGTGCTGGCGCCCTTTGGGCCTAGCAGCCACTTCAACCTAACCCTTGCAAACTTGTTTATTTATCCATAGATTTTCATCGGTAGTAGTGTTTTAAGCCGCAAAACAAGCAGATATTAGCTAGTCTATACTAATATATATTTTGATAAGCGTTTTTTTTCTGTTCGCAAAGCTCGAGAAAGGCCGTACCGATTTTTTTGAAATTTCGGAATCTACTGCAGACTTTCCAAGGTGGTTAAGAAAAGTTTCGATATAGAAAAGGGGCGTGGCACCTCCCATACAAACCGAATTTTTCAAACTGCATATATTTGTGGTAGAGGACTAGAACTGGGTATGGTGATATATACATATATAAGACCAATTCCATACTCATGGAGAAAAATTTGCATGGTTGGAGAATGGGGCGTGGCACCTCCCATATAAACCGAACTTTTCATATTGCATATTTCTGGAAGCGTTCATGGTAGACTGTAAGCCTTTTTAAAACTCTTTAGTTTGACACCCACATGTCAACATTTCATTTACTTTATCAATTTAACTAAGTTACAATTTCCAAATAGGTGGCAGCCCCCCTCAAAAATATTTCCAACAGTTATCTTTCTTAAACCTCTTTAATTTGATACCCATATTGTAATATTTTATTAATTTTATCAATGTAATTTAGTTAAATTTTCAAACAGATGGCAACCCTTCTCAAACATATTTTCTTAAAACTCTTTAGTTTGACACCCACATGGCAATATTTCATTTTTTTTTTAACAATTTGACTGAGTTTAAATTTTCAAATAGGTGGCAACCCTCGTCAAAAATACTTCCAGCAGTTATCTTTCTTAAACCTCTTTAACTTGATACCCATATTGTAATAATTCATTAGTTTTATAAAGATAATTGGGTTTAAAAATTTTAAAATAGATGGCAACCCTCCAAATTTTTGCGATATCATTGGTTCTGGTATTATACCGAATACAAAAAAAAATATTCAAATCGGTTCAGCCGTTCTCGGGTTTTGATGACCGTGACATACGAACACAACGTTTTTATATATATAGATATACAAAGAAGATGTCCAATGTGTGCTCTCGATTTTAATCTGTGACCACAACAAAAATTCCACATTGTACATTCGTGAATGAACTTTCAGTTTCACGATTACTTTTACAATTCCTTTGAGTAATTGAAAAAACTAAAGTACTCTTGCAATTCCAGGTAATGGAATTGAAAAAAAAATGAATTACATTTTTAATTCCTTTCAAAGGAATTGGAAAAAAATACATTACTAGCACGTAATTTATTTCAATTACAATATGAAATTCCTTGTAATGGAATTAAAGAAAAAACCAATTAAATTTGAAATTACTTCAAGGAATTGAAAAAGTAATCGATTCCTTTGCTGTGGACTGAAGGAATTGATTCCTAATTACAATTCCTTGTAATCTGTAATTGGGAGTAATTTAATTCCTAAAGGAATCATTACGACCCAGCTCTGCCAATGAATCACAATTTATTAAATAAAAACACCTTCTAAATCATGCGTCTGACTTTGGTTGCATATGCAAATTAAATGGCGGAGTTCCGCTCTCAAACTCCAAAATATGCAAAAGAATGAGAGACAAAAGAAGATAAGATATAACCCGGTGAGCATTAAAAATGTAAACCTTTCCATGGCAAATATTTATTTACTGTCCCTGTGGCTTCTTTTGGGTGTTGGGTATGGTTCTATTTCTAAGTATAACGGTGCATTTAATTTTGTACGCGAAATTTATACGCATTATTTAATTTCGATTGCTGCAAACATATTTTTGTTATTTTAAATGGCTGGTAAGTAATTACCGTGGTAATATACCAGTTAGACCACCAACAAGAAAGCGGAAAAATTGGTGGTCCGGGGAAGATAGTCCAGATTGACGAGAGTAAGTTTGGAAAGCGGAAGTTCAATAAAGGTAATTTTTGTTCCATTGTAGTGTTATAATTTTAATTTTCCCTTTCCTATTTTCAGGCAGACGAGTTGAGGGTCACTGGGTCCTGGGCATGATCCAAGATGGGAGTGAGGATCTACGCTTGGAAGTATGTCCTGATAATTGCGGATCAGCGGATATTCTTATTCCGCTGATCAAGAAGCATATGGCCGAGGGGTCGATTATAAGGACGGATTTCTGGCGCGCATATGATTGACTTTCTGATAATGGTTTCACCCATCAGAAAGTCAATCATAGCGACGCCATTAATCCGTTTATCGCAGAAGACGGGACCCACACG